GGAATTTTCAACTTTTTCCTAAAAAAAAAAAAAAAAAAAAAAAAAAAAAAAAAAAAAAAAAAGGGGGGGGGGGGGGAGAAAAATCCTTTTCCACATTGTTATGCTGACGTCACTTGCAGTGGATCCTAGGCAGAGACAAAGCGTGGGGCCCACTTGACATTAAGTGCCGCAAAATAGTAGACAGGCCCAGAACCGGCCTAATTCTGTCATGATTGTAATGGACGCTCATGTTTGTCAACCTTTAACCCGATGCATTTCCGAAAATGATTGAGGGTTGAAGGCCAATAAACCTAAAGTTGCCAATCTGTCATTCAGAGAGCATAAAGGACTGACGGACCTGCGCCCCAAATAATCCCAGGTTCTCATTTGCAGCGAAAGGGCAAAACAAGAAACAGGGCCATCTAGAATAACTGCACCTTTATGATTTAATATGATAGACCACGCCGATTCTATGAGGCTGTTTAGGCTCACATTTTCAATAACATAGCCACAGCAAGTGAGGTCTGCGCTACAGGCCTATTTGATAGCTACAGTATATAATATTTTGCAATATACTATTAAAGGACTTAGTTTATTTAATTGCTCATAACAACCAAAATTGCTATTATGTTCTAATGGGCCATAATGTGGTCATAACTTAATTAGACTTTAGCCTAATAAGCAGTTTTCAATAAATTACAATTCAATTCATTTATCTGCAATACAGTATGTAAATCAAGTAATAACAACATAATCAGCTAAATGAGTGAGAGTAAATTTGGTAATTTTTTTTTCAAAATTTGTCATATAAGTTTAACCAAATTCTACTTTCATAGGATTAATATTGGAGTGCTACGGTTAGCTTCAGCTCAAAATAACAGAATTATAAAAGTAATGGCAAAGACATGTAAATATGTACTACGAGTATTCCCGTAATATTTGTTAAATTTAATAAAATATGCCGAATAGGCTACGCGACAATGTAGCATTTTAAATTTAGACACTACTGGAGTGTTTATATAACTTCAGCTTCAATATCTACATTGTGACAAATTGTATCATTTTGACATCTGCAATCCCTTCCAGCCCTCCAGCTTTATGAGTTCGGTCACTTATGTTGGTTGCTTGACAGGCCAGACTAAATCCTAGTGACTGTTGCATACAAAATGTCACTCCCAACAATCAAAACATTCATGTCAGGGAATACGCTTTACATCCATGAGGTCCAAGTCACTCCCTGTACAGTGAAAATGGACCAAATGATTAACAAAGGTGCTATGCAGATAGGAAATGAAACAGAACTGAAAATGCCAGTGGGAAGACCAGAGTTATAGTGTGACACCATGTTGTAGACTGGACTGAAAATTCTAACAATCTTATTTCTTCAACCTGGGATTGCGATGAGAAGAATTATTTTTAAAATAACCCGTTTAGGAAAACTATTCGCACAAAAGCGATAAACGTATACACACACGTATATAAAAATATGTGTAAATATGCATGTTTATCCAAAATAAACTAGTACTAGTGTGTATAAGAATCACCAGAGATTGCTCTTGGTGATTAATGTCAATGTAACACAAAAAATAAAAGAGAGAAGGCTAGGCAGCACAAAATTATTTCATCAGGTATCCAAATCTGTGTCTGTATGTGTGTGTGTGTGTGTGTGTGTGTGTGTGTGAGAGAGAGAGAGAGACTGACAGACACAAAGTTATTGTGAGTTCATATATGCGGTACAAACAGTGTGTGTGTATGTTTACACAACTGCGTGCATTAGTGTGGAGTGTGCTGAGATATTATAATTGATGAGGGATGGCAGTGCACAGTCTTGCCATGACTTTATGAAATTTAGATGAATTAACAGGTTTGGGATGAGTCCATTTGCAGACAGATGCTCCAGTAAATCACAGCAAGAAGTCAATTAGCCCTCTCCATCAGCCATATGAAGGCAAACTACAAGTACTGTAACAGTCACTCAAGACCCAACTGACCATATAATTTATGAAATATAGATAACAAAATATGGTGTTGTACTATATACATGTATAAACCTGAGTGAAGCAAATAAGGAAAGAAAGCATTTCTGAAAGCATGTTTCTCCCACGACAAACAAATAAACAAAAACGTACCAAGCAACAATATGCCCGATAGCGATGCAATATGCAGTCAAGCCTCACATTGTGAAATTCCAAATTACAAGACAGTTAAATTGTGATTCGTCATGAAAAGCTTAGTATCTATGGTGAGAAAATCCTAGTCAGCTGCTTCACTTACTCAGAAATGGAAAATACATGTATTTGGAAATATAATGCATAATGTAAATATCTGTCTTGTGAAAACTCAAAGCATTCTGAAAATACGTAGATGCTAAAGTTTGATGTATAAACAGTAATTCCGCTGAAAAATAAATGTGAGCCAAAATTGTATTTTATTTTATTATTTTATTTGTATGTATGAAATCTACTGGGTTATGGTATGATTGCAGACCAGAACCTGAGCCTTTACACTGTTGTGGGCTCCG